ACTGAGGTTTTGTTCATAAAATCTTTTCCTACACCGATGTCTTCAAGGGTTCTACCTAACCTCTGTTCCAACTGGTTCAGAGTTTCTATTTTAACGTTTAGATCTTTAATCCATTTTGATTTTAGTTTAGTGCATGGTGAGAGATACAGGTCTAGTTTTAATCTTTGCACTCTGCCAATTATTCAGTGATGATTCCCCTTTACCTGGTATTAGGTAAAATGTAAAGAAATTAAGACATCAGTTTAATATTTAAAACTGGAAATTAAGGGTCTGAGTAACAACAGTGGTCTCTAAGTGGGATTTTTACATTACTTATATAAATATTTTGTTTAGTGTTAATTGTAACATAACCATGAAACTTAGTCAATACTTCTCTTGGGCCGGGGATTTAGCTCAGTGGTTCTGCAGTCTGCCTTGCAAGCCCAAGGACCCGAGTTCGATCCCCGGTACCAAAAAAAAAATACTTCTTTTAACATGGAGTGACACACTGCATGTCTCAGATCTGCTGGGTTATACACAGGTCCTAGACCTCAGCAATCTGAACCCAAAAGCCACCTATGTCCAATAGCAGGTTGGAAGGTCAGTTTATCTACACAACAAGAAGCCTATCTGCTAGTCAATCAATGTAAGTCACATTAATCATTGACTGTGAGAAGGTATGGGTAACAAAAACTCAGCCTGAGAAATATTCTGCAGACCTTTAAAAATAGTAGATTGGTACTGTCTGGTCTGGGAAACTTTCTAACACCTTAATTCTAAGATGACTTCTAAAGGAAAAGGTGATTCTTTGTAGACAACAAAAAGTCTACAAAGATAAAATTCTAACAGATGTTGAATTGAAGAATTACTGTCTTTTCTTTGTTCTATGTTACATATTTTTCATACAGCAGAAAATACCAATGTTTTGCACAAGTTGCTTGAATCTTCAACACACTTACCTAAAATACTGGCACCTGGCTGCTAAAATTACCCGGTGGGCAGGAAAACGTTTCTTCTCCACAACAAACGTGACATCGCCATATTCTTCTCCAATCAACAAGGCACCAATATGTTCAGACAAAATATGCACATGATCAATTTCCCCCACTGCAGTAAAGGGGCGAAGAGGGTGGCTGTTACTCATCTTGTCAAAGTGACAGTCGCTGATCTATTATAAAAAGGGATCAGAGTTAGTAAAGAAACAGGAGTACACTTCACTGTTTGATACATGATTCCCTTTAAGTAAAATGCCTTAAAAAACTCACAAGAGAATATGAGTTATCAATGATCTCTTTATTCACTGATTTATTCTGGGAAACAATTCAACTTGTTTCCATTAACTCCACTACCTTCACACCTCATCACACTAGAAAAGCAAAAATCCCAGGGTCTTAACACTGACAGCACATGGAACTATCACAATCTAGAAAATTAAAACCAGTACATGTCTATGGGTTTTTGTTTCTTTTGGCAGTATTGGAGATTGAAGCCAGGGCCTTTGCACTGAGCTAAACCTGAGGGTTTTTTATTTTTTATATTGAAACAAGTCCTAAGTTGCTAAGGGCAAGGCTCAAACTTGTGATCATCCTGCCTCGGCCTCCCAGAGGGCTGGATATACAGTCGCATGTTACCATGCTTGACTAAGGTCCCTTAGGAAAATGAAAATCGACATTCTTTTACAATAAATTTAGAGCCGGGAATTTAGCTCAGTGGTTTCGCCGCCTGCTGTGCAAGTGCAAGGACCGGAGTTTGATCCCTGGTACCAAAAAAACCAAAAGAACCAAAAAAACCACTAGACTTAATAAGGAATAAGGTTGGATACAACTATGCCCAGAAAAGCCATTCAGGCATAGATGGAGGCCTAAATTACAAACAGAATAATCAGATTTCATATAAGAGATTTAAGTTTGAAAGTATCTTAATTACAAAAATAATCTGGAGTAACAAAAATAACCTGACATTTATTAATGAAAGTTTATAGTAACATCCTAAGCCCCTCTCAAAAACAGAATCACCCTAGCGTTTTTCTCAAGACTGTGACTTCCACTCCAAATGTGTGGCTCTGATGATCAGGTTGCTAGTGTATACCAGAACACTATTTTATTTCATGTACAGGCACTTCCCCAATTTTCTACAAAAATAATTGAAAAAATCAAAGGACTAAAGTTGGTTAACAGCTTTCTAACATGTTAGAAAAGAGAGTTATCATCTTACAAAGCTAAAAATATTTTTATTTTCAAATCCCTGATGTATTTGTAGGTTTTGCTTCTCCAGGTATAAGTGACCAGCAGTTGAGTTAGCTCTGAGGTGAGCCCCTAACCCTCTTTGGCACCAAACACTAAAAGAACTCAGCCAGATACCATCTCTCCACTCACCCTCTACATCTTCTCAAACTCTCTACTTGGATGAAGATGAAAGGTTCAGCAGCAACTAATCTTTAAGCTTCCACATCCAGATCCTTTATTAACAAAGTATATAAAAAACAGTCTGTCTCCTACATCTGTGGTGAAGATCCTCATAGACCAAATTCCTTAGCTGCCTATTATCACAGTCCTGCCCCCAACAGAGGGACCACCAGCAAGGAATGTGATCCAAGAGAAATGGAGGATGAGCTAGGCAAGGAGACACCCACCCCAGTAAAGTGAGAGAACTCCTGGTCCCCCATGGTAGGAGCAAACTGTCCTTGGTGCCACAGCAAATCCATCTCCCTCAGTTGCAGCCTCTACTTGAAAGCCCTCAAAACTGAATTATCTCTAGTCACTGTGTATACAAGACCAAATTCAGCTTAAAAAGGTATATGTAGGGGCATCAACAGGTAATGTGTGAGACGATAATCTAATGTGTAACACAAGGATAAGCAAACTTTCTGCGAAGAGTCAGACAGGAAAAATTTTAGGCTCTGACTAAATAAACCTTTGTCATAACAATTTAACTCTGCTATGGGAGCCTAAAAGCAGCCATAGGCAATAAGTAATAAATGAACATGGTTATCTTCCAATAAAACTATTTACAGAAAAAGAACTGGATTTGGCCCACAGGCCATAGCTTGCCAATCCCTATTCTAACAGGTGATCAAGAAGTGACTACTTACCCTCTAGACAAAGGATCATACAGGGTTTTTTAAATTGTTTTGGTTGAGTTACCCAGCTGATGTTCAAAACAACATGATCATTTCCTATGTTGGCCATGGAATTCTAAAGCTACTGGAACCTAATTTCAAAATCCTACTCTTCTCAACTGGAATACTCACATCACCATCTACTAGCTCAACCATGATGTGTGACTCTTAACACACTCTTTCCCTGGCAGAAAGGAAGCAATATGTATGTCTAATAAATATATTCTCTGGCATAATATTCTCTTAATATTTTATTTAGGTCATAGCTAAGACTCAAATCACTGACTAAATAAATCTTGCTGAACAAAGATTGATTTTTGGTTAACTAGCTTGGAAGGAAAATTTACAGTTCATCAACTGACATCATAAACATTAATACTACACATGTAAATATTTATCTTAATGGGTTCTCTAAATCTTTACTCTCAACACATATAATTTCATTTTGCTAAATTTACATTTTAATTATGTTTTTCCAAACAAAGACATAAAGAGAATATTGCTGGGTACAGAAAATAGCCACTTAGTGTGGAATAAACACAGTTTTTATTGGCATGCAAAAATAATTTTAATTAGACAGTAATTCTCAAAACGATTTCCACACATTAGAACCACATGGAGAGATTAAGGAAAAAGAGATGCTTGACTCCTACCCATCAGAGATTCTTATTTAATTCATCTGGAATGGGGCCCAGGCACTGTAATCACATTCCAGTGAGCAATTTGGAAAAGAGTCAGTGATTTAGATTGTTATTGCTATAGGTACATGTATGCTTGGATGTGGTTTGTTCCCCAAGGCTCCATGTGTTGGAGACTTGTTCCAGGAGGTGGTTGGTATTAGGAGCTGGTATGTAACCTTTAAGAGGTGAGGCCTAGTGCTCGCTTCGGCAGCACATATACTAAGAGGTGAGGCCTAGTGGCAAATTCTTAGGTCACTAAGGAAGTTCCCTTGGAAAGGATTAAGGTAGTTCTCACTGGACTCCTTGGTAATTCTCTCAAGAGGGTCACTACAACCCAGCTACCTCTCTGGCTTTCTGTTTTAAGATGTCACTTCTTATTTCCACACACATTTCCGCCATTGTAACACCACTATGAGGCCCTGGACCAAAGCCAGTGCCATGCCCTTGAACCTCCAAAGCTGTGAGCTGTGAGATTTTTTTACAAAAGTTAGTTCACCTTGGCTATTTAATTACAGTAGCACAAAGCTGACTAATACAGTTCATATCCCTTTGGCATGCAAGTTCACAAAAAATATCCACTGAGAAAATTTATTTAGGATATAAGTCTATTTTTAATATAATGAAGAAGCAAATGGTGCTAACAAAGTTATCAGTGCCACAGCTTATACACAAAAAACTGAATATTTTCACCAGTGGTAGCTTTTCTACAGATTAACAATTTGTATGACACAATCTTTTGCAAAAGGGAAGGGACCAAGAGACAAGGGAAGGCGGGAGGGGACAAGGGAAGGCGGGAGGGAACAAAGGGGAAAGGTGTAAAAAAAGAATTAAGATGTGTTATGTACATGTACCAACTCTCTACAATGAATGCAACCATTATGTACTGCAAACATATATAATAAAAATATAAAAAACCAAAAGTATGTGAAGTATGTGTTAGGAATCACATGCTAATAAGTTAAATTTTAAATCACCAATTTAACTTGATAAACAATAAAATTAGAAAAGTCTTAAAGTTCATGGAGTGAAACTGTGTAATGACTTTCTTCAGGTTTGTAAGTTATTCTGCCATTAACTACATATGTGACCTCTGACAAACTTCCACAAGAGTATTTCCACAACCGTAATGACATGGTTATAGTGCAGTGGTGGCAAACCCTTTAGAGACAGAGTGCCCAAACTGCAATCCAAAACCTATTTATTTATCACAAACTGTCAACACTGCAATTAAACCCGGATATCCAATGCTTGGTAACTTGGCTCATGTGCTGACGGAGAGGGGTCTGTGCCTGCTACAGCACACGTGCCATAGGTGTGCCACTGTATAATCGATAATTATTTTTTCCAAGTTACATTTTATAACTAACTCTACCACACTGCCTTCTAATATTTGTTTTTTGTCTGTCATAAAATCAAGACATTTCAGCTATAAATGAACATGGAAAATCAAAGTTTATAAAGAGGATTAGAAGTTCTTAAAAGTCTGTACAAATGCGTGATTATTGGGGTTGACAGACCTAAAGATGTCCACCTTCTATGATTTTTGACACACACCACCTCCCCACTGAGAAACAGATTCCATTTTATTTCCTCTTGAATCTGGGGTGGCCATGGAATCATTTTATTTTTATCTATTTTTTGCAGTACTGGAAATCAAACCTAGGAGGTCATGCATGTTAGGCAAGTGCTCTACCACTGAGCTACGTTCCCAGCCCTTTTTATTTTTTATTTGAAGAAAGGGTCTAAGTTTTCAAGGATGTCCTGGACCTTGCAATTCTCCTGCCTCAGCCTCCCCAGTAGCTGGGAATGCAAGCATGGGCCATAGCATCCAGCTTTGGGATCACTTTAACCAACAGAAGTGAGGTTCTGATGGAGTAGGTAGGTAGTGGGCATGAAATGGGGCTGGAAGAACAGCAGCTGAGCCTGAGAGGCAAAACCGCAAATAGACAGTGGGCTAAGCTACTTGACCACAACTGTACAGTCTCGCAATTCCCTGAGGAGGGCTCAGGGAGGAGGCCCCTTCCAGGGACCCCACCTACATGGTCCTGAGTCTAAGGTCCACACATGGGCACCTAAGGGACTCAAGTTCCCATCTGGCCCCATTAGCCCCTCTGTGTCCTAATTAGCTTCATTTACATACAGTTGCATGGCAGTTTAGACCCTCCTTTCGGAGAGGCCTCTTTGTACTTGGCCTTTCTCCAGGTTGCTGCTCCCCTTCCTTGGGAGCATACTGCCTGTTAAGCTACTGCAACTCTCCAGGCACTCGCCCTTCACCACATTTGTCTCAAGAACCAAGAGGCAACATAATATAGATACACCCAGGTCATCAGCTTAGACAGATTCCTAAACGTAGTAACATTTTCAGGTTTA